CAGTATTAAAAGAAAAACATCCAATGGTTCTGATTTGATGGGAGTATCATACTCCCAAAACCACTGGTTTTTTATGGGAGCATCATAGCCGGCTCCGTCAAACTGTCCCCATTTTCTTCCTCTTCTTTTCTCTCTCTCTCTCTCTCTCTCTCTACGCACACACGCGGACACAAGATAAAGACAGATTTCAGGCAGAATAAAGCATACCAGATTAGAGCTTCACCAAAAAAGAGAGAAGATATAGAGCTTCTTTCTTTTGCATAGAAAAATAAAGGGAAATTTGAAGAAAAGACCAGAAGAGGAATTAAAGTAAGAAATGCTACCGGCCGGATTCCATTTCCACCCAGCTGAAGAAGCACTGATTTCATTCTATCTCCACCTGAAGCTTGAAGGAAAGAGAATTGACATTTTTGAGCACGAGCCATGGAATCCTCAAAGTACCCTTTTTACCTTCCTCTCATTCTTCGCTCTTTTACCCTTTGCAATTTTCAGTTTAGGCCATGTTTTGATAAGATTTTTATTTTTTAAGTACTTATATCCCGCTTTATGAGTTAATGTTCTTATTTCTTATATCCCGCTTTATGAGTTAATGTTCTTATTTCTTGAGTATTTATTTTTCGCTTTATAAGACAGATCATTCTTTCATAATATATCACATTTAATTCAAAAATAAATATTTATTTTAGTTAGTGGAATATTTTCTTATAGGCTTCGATTCTTGTGAACAGTCGAATTGGTCTTGCTAACGTCCGCCCACTAGACGGAGGATAATAAGTCAATGATTCCAAACAAGTTCGGATATCGATAAATATCTTACGGATATTAATACACTTTCATAAATATCATTATACATCTCTCGGATATCAATGTATTTTTTACGTATTATCCTACACTATACCCTTTGGGTGGAGATTAGAATAATCCAAGAACGAACCAGTTCATTCTAGCGGAGGCGGGGGGCTGCTCCCCCCTTGCTGCTGCGCCCCATTTGGGGCCCACTCCGGTCTCGCTCCGATGATCGGGATCGTTCACTTTATAGAGCTCGTCGAGTAGAACAACTATGCAAAAAATTAGCTTAATTGGATATCATCATTAAGTGCCTGATCAGAGCCCATATAACTCTCGGTCCATAGGTTCAAGTGGATATGATCCAGTGTTTCGGATCCATTCTTTTCAAGATAAAAAGGTTCCGATCAAGCACTTAATGATATCCAATTAAGCTGATTTTTTGCATGGTTGTTCTACTCGACGAGCTCTACAAAGTGAACGATCCCGATCATCGAAACGAGACCGAAGTGGACCCCAAATGAGGGCGCAGCAGCAAGGGGGAGCAGCCCCCCTGCTCCGTCATTCTAGCTAGGGGTGGGGGAATTTCTCGTGGTTCTATATTCCATGTTTATTTTTAAAGATACAGTAGTTCTTTAGAACATATAAATTGATTGTGTTTGATTGGGAGTTTAGTTTAGTTTAATTTTGGTAGTGGGTGGAGAGAGAAATAGAGTAATGATTGGAGAGAGATAGAGAGAGATGAGAAAGTAATAATTGAAAAAATAGGATAATAATTGAAAAAAGAAATAGGATAATGATTGGAAAACAAAACTAAAACTAAAACTAAAACTAAACGGGTAACCGAACAACATTCTTTTTTATGTCAATCCATAGAGATTTAAACTGAAAGAGTGTCCAACGAAGCTTCTAGCTACCCACTGAACCCAGCTAGGAAATTCTCCCTGGCAGATCAGGTGCTCAATAGAAAAAGCATAGTTGGCTATTTCATGAGCCGCCCTATTACAAAAATGTGTTGCCGATCAAAAAAAGAAAGAAAGTACAAGGAATAAAACAAACAGAAAAATTGTAATTTCAAAAAAACAAAAACGAACAGAAAAAGAATGCAAGCAACTGCATAAATTTATTGAGTCTTTGACAATGACGTCCACATTAGTTCTGGCCGCAACTTCTTGATTGATCATTTTGAACAAAATCCCCACGCCTCGACCATCTCTGCCCCCTGAGCCCAGTTAATCGTTACTGCTTTCACCCATTGAATATTGCCCATTTCATCCCTAAATAAGTCCCACACCTCCTTTTCCCGTCACTGCAATACTCCCCTGCTTGGGGGGAACCCGCCTAAGATCACTGGCCTCCTTCTATTGCTTGGCAGAATTCATGGTGTTCTTCCACGGCATTAACACAGATTCTCATCTCATTCACCCATTCTCTACGGAAAAACCCATTCATTCCTGGACTTCCATATCTGCCAACACAAACTTTGCAAACAAACCCAGCATCCTTCCCAAATCTTGCCCTTTGCTCAAATTTCTCATGCTACTCCAGATTTCATCTAGTTGTGTTCGGACCATAACCTCAGGTCGGAAACGAAACGGAGAAAGAAGCCATACCTTTGTTGCACACGGTTACAATTAAACAGCATATGATTCACAGATTCTGGACACATACCAAACAATGGGCACATTGGATCCATGGGCGTTTTCCTTTGAAAAATTGCGTTATTAACCGGAAGCATATTAGGGATACTCCTCCACATAAAGTGTTTAACTTTCATTGGCGCTTTTATACGCCAAATTCTTTTCCACTTACCCTCATCCCCACTTGTTCCACTCCTTTGACCGGTTGTGCTTGCATTTCCACTCTGGCCTTCCGACATCTCCTTCGCCCCAACGTATGCAGATTTCAACGTAAATTGCACATTTGCTAAACCCGTCCATATACGCTTATCTGGAACCCAAGTGGTGCTTATTGGAATTTGCAAAATCTAGTCCACATCTCGCTATATGAACACCTTTTCATCTTCAATTGTTGTCTAATTTTTTTTTAATAATCAAGCTTATTAAGGAGAAACTATCACTTCACTTTATTTATATTACCTCTTTTTTTTTTAATAACCGGACGCCTGAATTAGTTCACGCAGGATCTTGTCTAATTTTATGTCCTTGAAGTTAACTAACTATCAAGCAAATTTTCCGTGCCCCTAAGTTTGAAATACTTAGACTATTTGGGATTGCGACCTCTTAGAAAAAAGTTCTTCAGTTGTTGTCTCCATTCGGGTAAGGTTGCAAACGTGCCGAGCCGAGTTTCAGGCTTGGCACGCCTTAATTTTCATTTGTTGTCTCCATTCGGGTAAGGCTGCAAACGTGCCGAGCCGAGTTTTAGGCTTGGCACGCCTTAATTTACCTGGGCGCCGAGCTCGAATGGAGCTCTAATGCGTTGGCTCAAGCTTGGCTCCCATGGCTCACCAAATTTGGAGACACTCTTGCTCAGCAAGCGTAAAAGAAAGAGAGCTGGACTCTTTCTTTATACTGGTACGGTGGGTGTGAGTTTTTAAGAACTTCCGATGTGGGATTCATTTTTTTCCCCTCACAATGAAAAGCTTACCTCAAGCCTTGTCCCACATTGGTAAAAGATGTGCAAGGGTATTGCACTCCTCCCCTATAAAACTAAACAGTAGACTTACGTACTTGTGTTGTGGATGTGGGTGCATAAGCCACGTGCCAACAAGTGGAAAGTAAAATCCAAAGTTGTGTATATTCAAAACATTCAAAGCATATATTCTCTCCGTCCATTTTTTAGAGTTCCGTCCCTTTTTTAGAGTTCGGTATTTCATTTTGCACTGTTCCTTAATAAATGTCCATTTTGTAAAGTTAGTGGGTAAAAGTTGGTGAATTTTTCTTTTTGCCCCTAAAAGTAGATTCCATTTTGTAAAGTTAGTGGGTAAGTAGGGAAAGTGGAGGAAAAAGTTGATGTGAAAGGTTTAATAAGTTGGAATTACGAATCTGGACATTTAAAAAGGGACGGATGGAGTATACAGAATATAAAATATATATATACAGTTTATACATTTAATTAATATTAAATATACAAATACATATAATATATATATATATATGTATATATATATGTGTGTGTGTGTGTGTGTGTGTGTATAGTTGATTCCTATCAAATTTGACAGGATAAAATTGAATGAGCCGATCAAGCCCTTGTCGATATCCAAATGAGTTGATTTTTTATGGGAACCCTTAAAAACATGTTTTAAACAAATTGAACGGCTCCGATTATTTGCGTGGGGCTCCGAAAAATATATTGTCAAAAGTATTGTCAAATTTATTGTCTCTAGAACCGGCCCCATATATATATATATATATATATATTACCAGCTCATGAGCTTGGCTTATTTATGAAACGAGCTCGTTCGTTTATTTGATGAACCGAGTTCGAACGAGCTGAGTCACGAGCCGCTCGGTTCATTTGCAGCCATACATTCGGGCTATCTAAAATTTGGCCTTGTTCTCCTAAGGACTTTTGAGTTTTTTTGACATTGTCCTTATTCAAATTTTTGGTCGCATTTGTTAGTTTTGTGTTAAAATTTTATTGATTATTGATTTTTCTCAATAATTTGGAAATATATCCAAGATAAAGCCTCAAAGCCGGCTTTTTGGGCTTTATTTTGGAATTTTTTGAAAATATTTTGGTAAAAGTCAAAATTTATTACTTTTCTAATTCGTCTCGTCAAGACGAATCAATAATGCACAAAAGTGATTTGATTTACTTTGTTTATGGCAATGAACGTGCATAGGATGCACTACAAGAAAATCGTTCTATAGCAACGGTCGAAAGCGTTGCTATAGAACCCAAAAACCGTTGGTATAGACCCGTTCAGGCTATACCAACGGTTGAAGAACCGTTGCCCAAACCGTTGCAATATATCCGTTGCTGTAGAGGTATAGCAACGGTTTTGTCGAGCGTTGGTATAGATTTTTTTTTAGTAACGGTTTCTTTAGCAACGGTTGTAACCGTTGCTAAAGGCAAGTTTTTTTTTTTTTAAAATCTGGGTAAAATATGACGTGGCGGCCACGTGGCCTCCACGTGGCGCTGACGTGGCATCCACGTGTCTCCCACGTGGCGCTTACGTGGCATCCACCTGTCGCCCACGTGGTGCTGACTTGGCGCTGATGTGGCGCCCGCGTGGCAGGCGAAATCTCCTTTGCTCCTCCGGGGAATCGAACCTCCGACCTCGCGTGTGGCGCGCATGCGCGGACCAACTGTGCTAGCCCATAACTTGTGTAAAAACTTAAACCTTTTAATATTTATACTATACTAACCGGACTTTTTAAATCCTTTTTTTTTAAATCCGGTTTATACTATACAAACACTTCTAATAGAGTATCATTTTTATTTCCCGATCGGAAGCGCCTATTTTTTACATAATAAGGAGTTCAATATTTGTACAAAGAATGAAATTATTATTACATAGAATTTAACGCTAGGTTAAATAATTACCTTTTAAAATTGGTATAAATTGACATGCACCTTGTACCAAAAAAAAAAAAAACCTCTCTATTTTCCTTTTTTTTTTTCAATATGAATTTTGCCTTTTTAGATTCACATAAATTTTTTTGATTGGTCAGTTATTTCTATGAGATGAGTCTAAAAAATAAAAAAAAATGCAATTAAAAGCATAAAAAATCAATATGGGCGAAAAAATATCAAACAACTAACATTTGTTGTCTTTAGTGTCATCTTATATGATATTTTTTTTCAACTTCGGTCCACAATTTTATACTTTTTTTATTCTTGTGAAGATGAATGATTAATCCCAAAATGAATGATTAGTTTCAAAAATTACCACAAAATGCTAAAAAAATACGTCAAATAAACAATACCGAAAAAAATACCAACAAAAATTTAGGAAAAAGAGCCCTAACAAAAGCAACGGTCTCGATCATCATGATTGTGTCATGGTTGAGTGGCTAAAGTACGTTCAAGAATGAAGTTAATCGAGTATCGCTACATACTTATCGAACAGAAAAATTCATTTTATTAATGAAATTGTCCATCGATGAAGAAATTTTCTAAATCCGATCGAGCCAAATTTGTACGAGAACACGATTTAATCAACATGAAAAATAAAATCAACGGTCTCGATTGTTAGTTCGGGTTTGGAAAACCGATCGCGTGAAAGAAAATTGGTTTTGGCGGTGTGAAAATCTAGTAACGGTCATTGGAAACCGTTGCTATAGGCCGGTTTTTAGTAACGGTTATGGAAAACCGTTGCTATAGGCCGGTTTTTAGTAACGGTTATGGAAAACCGTTGCTATAGGCCGGTTTTTAGCAACGGTTATGGAAAAACCGTTGCTATAGTCTTGTAATATAGTAACGGTTGCATGAAAACCGTTGCTATAGTCCTGTTTATAGTAACGGTTTGAAAACCGTTGCTACACACCGTCTATACCAACGGTTTTTTGAACCGTTGCTAGCAAAACCGTTGCAAGATCTCGATTTTCTTGTAGTGACGAGAAGCTCCAAAAGCGCTTAGGAGAACAAGGCCTCCTACTTATTACTATTAGAGAGTTTTCATTTTGGATTTGAATTTTGAAGCATTTTAGTATTTTATTTTTTGACAAGGGATGAGTAAAAGAATGACCATTCTTATAGAAATAGTAAAAGTTCCAAAAAAAGATCAACAATTGGAATGGAAAGAGGTACTTTCAAGAAAAAAGTATACTTTTCAGCGATGAGAAAATGTATCTCCGTTATTTTAAAAGAAAATAATTTTGAATAAAAAAAGTTTCTATACCTCGTAAACAAGTTTCAAAACTACTATTTGTCTAAAATTCCAACACTGTTGTTTGCTACTCCCTCGGTCCCAAATTAGATGACATCAATACCAAATGGATGTTTTCATTTCATTATTGACTAATAATGGCAACAAAATTTAACGTATGATTTTGTTGCAGAGCTTTCGGTAGAGCTGTGTCATGGAGACACGGAGCAATGGTTTTTCTCTGTACCAAGACAAGAGAGGAAGCCCGCGGAGGCAGGCCGAGCCGAACTGCGGCTTCTAGTTACTGGAAGGCCACCGGATCTCCGTATTATGTTTATTCATCGGATAAGCAGAATGGTGTCTGCACGAAGAACCCAAATTGCTGTTCTTCAATTCTCTCTCTCCCTCTCTCACTCTCTCTTTGCTCAATTCTCACTCTCACTCTCGCTTTCGCTCGTGCTCTCGCTCTCTCTCTCTCTCTCCATGGCTTGTGGGATAAATTCGAGTATTAGTTTAGAGGATCTTCGTCAATGTTTTGGCCATAAACGTAAAGATGCTGCGGAGAGTCTTGGCGGTACTATATTGCTTGCCATCTATATATCTCTTGGTTTCAACTTTCAACCATACTTACTATGCCACCAGAAGCTTGATTATTGTCTTGTGGAAGAATATGAGAATACTGATTTCTTACGGTTCTTTGCTCATGCAGTTAGTGTATCCACGTTTAAGCGTGCATGTAGGCAGCATGGTATCAAGCGGTGGCCAAATCGGATAGGAAGCAATGGTAATTCCTCCCTCTCTTCCTAGTCTCCTGTTTGGATAGGTGAGAGGAACAGATAGAAACCATGATCCCTTAATAATCAAACATTTCAAAAGTTTGACGAGAAGGAGACATGAGTTACGGTTACTAATTTGGCCCTGATCATCCTGACCAAAATGTTTCCGTTCTTATGATTCACAAATAGGACCTTCTTTCTTTCTTTTTTGATCGGCCAAGGCCTTCTTTCTTTTTTTTCTATAATCAGTATTTCTCAAAGCACGGGTGAGGATAATTCAGTTCATTCATTTCTTTTCTCTCATAAATTATCCAAATCAAAAGAAGCGATATTCAACTATCCTTATCTTTTCTTTCATTCTCGTTCCCGTCTAATTGTATCCTTTCTTTTCTCCAAATAGTCAGGAAAACTCCTGATCCACATGAAAGGAATACATCCCCAACATGCAAGACTACGTCATCTCATGGGCAGACCGAGATGGGGAATCAAATGGTTGGTCACCTTCACGAGCCAAATGAGCATCTATCGGATTTTTTCGATGGCCCAGTTTTTTGGAATACAGAAAGTTCAGTAGCAGGGATCTTAGAATCCCCTACTTTTCATGATGCTGGCGCTGGAAATTATCTTGACATGGATTTCACTTTTTCATCTGTTTTCAAAGAAAGCGAAGAACCAAGGGGCCAACAGACCGACCAATCAACACTGTCCGCCCCTTGTTTGGAGGGGCATGGCTCTAGATCTAGCTATGGGATAGTAGTGCCTGCATGTTCTGACCCAGCTTCGACCCAACCCATGCCTATTATCTCCCACCCGATGCCTACGACGCCTCCTCTCACACAAAGCCAAGATATAAGCTCCGTGACTGTGAAGGCAACATACGAGGATAACACAATAAAAATCCAGCTCCCTCTCACATCTGGAATTATTGAACTGAAGGAAGAAGTGGCAATGAGACTGAAGTTAGAGCTTGATAGTTTCAACTTGAAGTATAAGGATGAGGATGGGGACTGGATTTTGATATCATGCGACAAGGACTTGAGGAACTATCTGCAAGTTTTTAGCTCATTGGTCAATCCAGTAATCCGACTATTGGTGGTTGTTAGAATATTGAAACAAATGATATCGTATTCATACCTTGATATGATTATGATGCTATATGATTCTTTCAATTTCTTGTTATTGTAATTGATTATGATTTTGTTGTAATTAGGTCGATTTTTTCCCCATAATTAGGCTCCCTCATCTTGTATAAATATGGACCTTATTACATGTACAGTTTATTATTGAATTCGATTCAATACATTATTCTCTTCTCATTTCTTCCGCATAGTATCAGAGCTTAGATTTTTCTAACCTAGCTTTCTCTCCGCCTCTTTTGTTCTGCACTATCGTCATCAACCACCGTCAAGCCTCTCTGTCATCAAATCCATCATCACCAAAACTCTCAAAGCACTCAAGATCCATCCTTCACACCTCCAAATATTCACTGCTCCAAATTCCTAATTTTTCCCTAATTCCTAATCACCAATCGGCACAGCCACTAGCCTCAATCCCATTTCAATTACCACCGCCACCTCCCAAAAGTTGGTCCAAATTATTGTTTTCCTAATAACCACCTAACCAATATTTTGCATTACTCTCCCAGAAGTTCCATATACATCAACACCATATATACCACTTTCATTCTGTCTTTTCCTTTTTCTTTCCTAAAACTATCCAAATTCATTAACAACCAATCACGCCAAACCCAATATCAGCCTCCACTAATTTTGGCCTCCATCCCTACGGATCCGTTCCCTAATTTCAGCTTTCCTTATTTATCCGCAACCTTCATTTTTCGGATTTTTTTTGCATTAGATGGAGCAATCTGTCATGGCGCCCTACTTTCGGGTCATCTTGGAACTTGGAAGGTCTCAAACAATACCCTCCCTCAACTCGGTTTACCAAAAGTGAACTGTCATCTGTATTTGCAGACATTCTTTGCAAATATGGTATGTTATTCGAGTCTGATAAGAATTCTACTGCCTTGTCTGCTCCCACAGGTACATCCTCATGGTTATTTGATTCAGCATGTTGTAATCATATGACACCTGGTTCTGCCATTTTTTCTTCTAAATCTCATGCCTCTCACACTCCAGTCATCAAAACAGCTGATGGTTTTCACATACATGCCACTCATATGGGTCATATCTGTACTTCCACCATATCTCTTTCTGATACATATTTGATCCCTAAACTTACATTGAATTTAATATCTGTTGGTTACTTATGTGAACTTGGGCTTAATGTTATCTTTTCTGCTACTAGTTGTCATGTGCAGGATCCTTAGACTAGAAAAACCCTTGGGATAGGCCGTAAAGTTGGACGACTATATGAGATCATCAGTCTTCATATTCCATCCCAATCCTCGTTTATCAATTCTACATTTGCCACTCCTTGAGTGAGTCAATCACAATGTTCTGTTACTTTTAATTCTCTTAGTGTTTGGCATTCTCGGTTGGGTCATGCGTCTTTTGATCGAATACGTACTCTAGCTTCCTGTGAACATAAAGGATCTGTAAAGGATGAACATGTGGATTGTCTTTCTTGTCAACTTGTTAAACAACCAGCGCCGCCATTTTTGCATAGTGAGTGTTTTTCCTCTGCTCCTTTTGATTTAGTTCACTCTGATATTTTGGGGACATTCCCCAAACACCACCATGGCCGGATCCAGATATTTTGTTATTTTCGTAG